GCTTACAACCCTGATATTATTTATGATCAAGACATTTAAAATTAGTTGTTCCTGAGAATTGAAGTTCAAAAGAAGAGCAAAAAAAAAAAAAAAAAGGAAAGAAAAAAGAAAAACTGACTTCCATAAATATTTTCATATGAATAAAAGAAAATGTGCCCCTAAGTTTTTATGTTCATTTTTAGACTAGGCAGTGATGATTAAATGTTGCATAGATGCAGTTTTGCCTGGACAGGATATGAACTAGAGTTTTATCTGTGCCTTTCATCTCTTATATTTGTGGGACATTAGTATTTTAGGGCATGTTTTTTACCATGCCCAAACTTACACCCATTGACTGTATCTTTGCATTGCTGGACAGTAGAGGTCTGAACCATGGGACTCCTGGGAATAAATGTACCGTCAGTGAAACAAATATTTTGGGAGTATTTTAAAAAGCAGTTCACTACTTAGAATGCAAGATCCATCTTCAAATCCAATTGATCTTGGTAGGTGGCTAAAAAGCAATGTGATCTCAGTTTTAAAAAGAGAAAATGTTATGTTACCTAAGTGTTTATAAATGAATCAAACTCAGGCAGGCAATTAGAACAATAAGACAGAACAGATCCATGGACAGGGCAAGACAGGGCAAATGAGAGAGAGGCAGAGTAAGAAAAAGACAGAAATGACAAAGAGGAAGATGAACTAAGCTCACATGAAGACACTGAATAACTAACTCAAGAATGCAACTTCCGTTATGCTTTCTCTCTAGTAATATATTTTCTTCACTGGCAAAGCATCAAGGAGAGAAAATTAACATTTTATATATATGGGAAACTACTGTTGTGGCTAAATGCATATTTTAAAATATTCAGTTCAATATCCTACAGGAATATAAAAAAGAAATATGGAGAACAAGACATACAATAAATCTGGTTTTTCAAATATCCATAAAAAATTTTAAAAAGGATTCAGACATATAGTTCATTCCTTCAGAATTATGCCATAGTTTAAATAATGCTTTAATCATGTCACATGATTAAAGGAAAACACTCTTACCACTTTTTTAATCATGTCTTTTTCTTTCTTCTGCTGAAGGATTGGCTGCAGGGGCGGGAATTCCTCTGTGCTGCGTTTGCTGATGACATGGTGCCCAAGGTGGTAAGCAGCTTCAATCTGGATTGGGGTGAGGATGTCCCGCACATCTTTCTAAGGAAATTAAAAACCCTAAGAGTTAATAACAAAAATACACACACACACACACACACACACAGTCCAGAATAAACCCAAATATGACACACAAAAGCCAAAGCCAATCTATCGTTCATCTAAATTACTAAAGACACTGGAAGGTGGGGTTGTAGATGTGGCTCAGTGGTACAGCACCATCTGATATGCACAAGACACCAGGTTCCATCCCTAGCACCACACTGAAACAATTTTAATGTGTATATTTTTACCCAGTACAGAAGCATTCATGTTTCTTATGACAAATTCAAAAAATATAAAATGAAAAACTATAACATAGTATTTGCAAAGGTATGCATTTTGGAATATTCCCTTCTATGCTGTTTTCTATGCTTTTTAAAATAACTTGGTGTGATAATTTTTAATTTATAAACTCTTTGTATCTTGCATCAAAGTTTTAATCAACACTTTATTCCATTTAAGTTTTATTCTCTTAGTAACATCTGGATTCAATATGATTCATTTGATTCCATACTATGAAATTTTTTTTTGTTATTCACTATGGACCATTTCCCATAATGTCTAACAGATTATGACTAGTATATAAAAACATTTTATATCTCAGATTATTGAATTTTGTTACAAATTGTTCTACTTTCTTTAGCTTATTTTCCTTTTATATTTCACAAAAGAAAAGAGTTCTTGGACATAATTCTTAATTGCCCAAGAATTATAACCCATTCAGAAACCATTGTGTGTGAAGTGGTAGTCTCTTAAATTTAATATCTTACTAATTTCTATACAACACTTTTTATTCCCATTCTTATTGACATGTGCTCAAAAGCATAATTTGAGTAATTTTAAAATTTATTGTCCTCCTACCCCAAAGAAAGAAGTCTTAAGTTTATCAGAGTTTATTGACAATTCCTATATTTAATCTTTACTTCTAGGCAAGCATTTTTCTCTTTAAAAGAAGTTTTCCATGAGTTTATGAAAATGATTTTATTATCTTTTCACTTCAAGATTTACTAGCCTCCTCATTGAAAGTATCCAATATTTAATTAAATAAGCTTTTCAACTAGATAGTGGATTGGAATCTCCAGTTTATGAGAACAGAATTCAGGTAAGATATCAAATGCAGTATGCCATCTCTTAGAAAGCATTGATTCAAGACCTCTCTTGGCAGAAACGTGGTTTCTAAAGTCCCCTGAAAAAAGCCATTTTTTTTCTCTTTATCTTAAGGGTAGGAGAATAAGATTTTACTAATAAAGTAATCCACTAGTATTTATAAAAATCCAACTGACAATTAAATTATATGCAATAAGATATACTGACAACAAAAATTGAAAGTAGAAATTATCTTAGGATTTGAGGGACAGTGCCCAGTCAGCAAACATTGTCCACCAACACACAGACTGGTGTACTGTAGACAATTTGTGCAGTCTTTTTTCCCTTGGTATGAGAATTGTTACTATACCCAGAAGATAATCTGAAGAATTGGTCACAGACTTTAATGTCTTTCATACTAACAAATTAAATTTAAAGCTCAATTTAACTCCACATTTCATATGCCCATTTCAATCTGCAGGTTCTCATTTTAAAGAATTGATTCAACAAAGTCCTTCTTGACCATGTAAGAGAGACTTCAGAGTTTTCACCCGGGGTATGTATTATTTTATACCACACCTGAGGTTATGTCTCTGCTTGACAAGTTCTCCAGGGAAGACCCATGACACACTTACAGACCTCCCACTGAACAATGTCAGTGGATGAGGTTTCTGATGATCTATAGTCATTTATGGATTGGAATATGGTTGAAATATCGTTGCCTAAAAGTAAATAAAATCAGCTTATTTTCAAAGCCCATCAATCAACAATATCTAATGGACAGAAAGAACAGCTATTGTATAATTATTGCTCTATTATTTACATCTACAATAACTTTTGATAAAAATCAATGAAATAAGTAAAGATGATCCATACCACAGACATTGCATTTATTCTGTCTTTATACAATAAGCAAAAAGGATGTAAATTTCTTCTTACAACATCAGTATTTGTATATAATGGTTAAGAGCTAGTGGGATAGAGATGGTGCACTCATGTTCTAATCCTGGATGCACTATTTAACCTTGAGCAAGTTACTTAATCTACCTATGGTTTAGTTATCTGAAAATGTGAACAGTGATGACGATGGTGATATTTATGCACTGTTGTGATGATTAAGAGACAATGTATAAGAGTAAAAAATCATAATTATAAATAATCTATATATATGACTACCAAGGAATTATTAAAGTTGTTTCTTAAAATAAGAAATGCAGTGAACATGTGGAAGGAATAGCTAAATTGAACTACTGTCAACCAATGAACATTAAACAGAAAATGAATGATGTAGTATTAGCCTGCTATTAGTTAAATGATATCTGGACTATTTGGAGGCTGAATTAGAGTACTCAAACTCTGATTATTTTTCTGTTCTACACAGTAATGCCTTTATTAAATTACTTGGTAAGTGATCATTTCAACCGGAAAACTTGACCATATAGGAATGCTGCAAACCAAGGCCCAAATCCCAAGTTATCAACTTGTGAAAACGGAACAGCTTGAAGTCCTGAGTATTACAATAGCAAACTTCATTAAATTATTCCCTAGGTGTAGGAGCTAGACAGCCACTGATTGTCCCTCCACATGTCCACTGTTTTAATTCTTCTCAACAAGCTTGCTTTGACCAAATCACATGTTATCTAATTCATACTAATTTTCCACAAGGTCTTCTCTACATCTGGTGTATATTACTTTCATTATCTTAATTAGCTATTAATTATGCTTTTCCTGCAATATAAAAAATGTATGTGCACTCTTCAAGAACTGTATTTGACAGATATTCACACTTATTTAACTTTAACAGCTCCACCTAAAGACAAAAGCTGCAACATCAAAAATGTCTTAAAGTGACAAATTAAGTATTTGGGAAAGAAAACAGATTTGCTCAAAGTTTGTTTTTTTTTTAATTTGGATGGGATGTGCTATTATATTAAAAGTAATGAAAATTCCATGCCACATTTTTATGGACAATTACATAAAACAGAGCACCCAGAGCTTGGCCATGTGTGCAGGCAGAGCAGGTGTGGGCTGAGTGTGCCCTGCTCAGTCTGGCTCGCTCTGCCCACTTTCGACCAGGAGACCCAGCCAGTGAGGACCCCCGGGTACACCCACCAGCCTCCAGCTTGGGCGCCTGCAACAACAGCCCCCCCACCCCCTCCCGCCAGCTCTGGGCTGTGCAGCTACCTGGTTCCACACTACAGAGGCACAGGGGAGCACAAAGCCCACTGTCCTGAGCTGCAGAAGTGAACAAGAGAGAGGGCCTCTCTCAGGCCCCCTTATGAAAACTGAAGCCCACTGGAAAAGTGAAGAGAATCTCTGCAATAACCAGACCACTGTGCTTGGTAAATTGGAGGGATCATCACCTCCTTTCGGAACCTGGACAATCTTCAGGGAAAAGGCAGCTGGAACCTGCAAGAGGACAGGGAGCTCAACTTGGAACTTGCAGCCAGAAATCTGCCTGAATCTCACGGGTCTGTGACTGGCTTGCTGAGACTCATTGACTAATAACTGCACACTGCTGCCCCGATTGTCTATTGTGACAGCAGAGACATACCCTGAAGGAGGCCTTTCATTTTTATCTTTTGTTATTTTCAAAATTACCACTATTATTTTGCTCTTATTTCTAAGCTTTTTCTTCTTTGCAACTCTTTTAAAATTTTTTTTTCCTCTCTTTTTTTTCTTTCTCTCTCTCTCTGCCTTGCTCCCTTGCTGTCCCACATTGTTCTTCATCTCCCTTAGTGTTCCTGTTTTGCCCCTAATTCATATTTCTTCTTTATCTTTCTTTTCTTTCCTTCTATTGCCTGTGCCCTCTGGCCTCACTGCTAACCTTCCCCTATCCTTCTACCTACCTATCCCTCCCTCCACAACTCCTTCTAACTCTCCATCCTGAAGGGTAAAGTTGCTGTATTGAAGAGTTTATTCACTATAAACATACGGTGGGTTGGTCCTTGATTTTGATTTAATTCACACAGTTAATGGTGACAGATTAATAACTACCACAAATTGTCATTTTCAAAAATGTACTTGATGCTATTGTGTTGCTGATTGTATCACTTGAGCTAAGGTGTTGTGATTGATCTAATCAGTTGTCCTTCCTGGTATAATGAAAATGAAACAGCCTCAGAGCCATTAGAGACTCAAAACCTAAAGACCAGCTATATCTGGAAGACACCTCTGAGAACCAATCATTCCATAAGAGTTCTAAATACATCAACAAAGATACTTACAATTAGCAACTTCAAACTATCAACCCAGGAATTAAACCAAGGAGAGTACTAAAAACAAAAATGAGAAAGCATTTAAGTAAGCCACAAACTCAGACTTTCACCCCACAAATGGCAAATTCTGGGGGAAATGAGGTGGAAAAGTCTGATAATCAACCACCTGGACACCCTGAACTGATAGCACAGAAAAGTAACAAAACAGATGAATGATTGAGTCTCTAGAAAAATTCAAAACAGAAATAATTTCCCAGATAACTACAGAGATGGTGAGCAGAGTGAAAGACATGATTAGAGGCTCTAGAACAGAAACAGATAAAAAAAAAAGATGAACTCAGAAACACACTGGAAGCCATGAATGCCCAGCATAAAAAAGAAATGGAAACCATGATCTCCTAACATAAGAAAGAAATGGAATCCATGAAACAGATTCAAACAGATATTCAGGAGATTGAAAAATCCACTGAAAGCATGCAGAGCAGATTAAGGGAATCTGAAGATAGAATAGCAGATATAGAAGACAGGATTGCGGTTAAAGAACATGAAAACAGAGATCTCTTCAAAATAGTAAGGGACCACAAGAAATCAATCCAGCAGCTGCTAGATGATGCAAAGAAGAATAACATGAGACTGACAGGAGTCCATGAAAAAACAGGAGAAAGTACAATTGACATAAAAAAAACTGTTTACAGA